TTGTTTCTTATAGATTTGTTGTGCATGATTTATTCTTTATTTTTGTTAAGACTCTTAAGCCTTTTCAAAACATCATAATAATTGATTTCATCAGTAGATATATCCAATAAAAATTTGTAGCACAATTGCTAATTCTTGACTTAAACTTACGAAGAGCACCATCAGGTTCAATAACAAATACATCTTGAAAACATTTGTTTAAATTTTTTTTTTTTTCAACTTTATCTTGTAAAAGATATCCATCATCTTTTTGTAAAGCTTTTATTGAAGCTTTTACCACTAACTAATTGTTAATATATTTATATAGCAATTTTGGATTTTGCTTTGCTTTTTTAACTAAGTCTTGCTCATAATTCATTCGAGAATGCTTTAATTCAGATTTTATAATCCAACAGTATTTTATAATCTTTACTCAAATTAGCATCTTTCTATTTTCGAGCACAGTTTCTGTATCTCAAATTTTTCTTTATTATATATATATATATATATATATATTAAATATATATACAATTTATAATTTATATTAAACTTATTTTATATTTTATGATTATGTTATTAAAAAAGTTTAAAAAATTACCTTATTTTTGATACTCAACATTATATTAAAAAGACTGTATTTAATATTTGAACAATTTTAAATGCATCATAAAAAATTGAGTTTACTGTTTACGGTCAAGCCTAAAAGTGTTTTTACGTGCGATAAACACGAGTTTGCACTCTGAAAATGTTTGAAAACTTTATAATAATTGAATTAGATATACACTCCATAAGCATGGTAATCAGAATGCTTTGGATATAATGTTGTCCTTAAATCATTTGGAATCTTATTAAATGAAAAAAGTGTTGTACACATAAGAACAATGAGATAGTAGATTGTTGAAGAATAACCCTAACATAACTGAAAAATATTTACAAGCTACATGAAAAAAACTATTAAGAATTCTATTTTGGAATCAAATTTGAATATTATATTTCAAGAGAGGCCAAAGGCCTCTCTTAAAATATAACTATTAATGAGACCAAAGAATTAGTTTCTTGGCATCTCATTTCAAAAATAAAAATAATGCCCAAAAGTTACTTTCTATAAAACACATGATGAAGAGTTTGTTTACAGTAAAGGTATTTGGGATTTGCTAATAAAGTGCAAGAGAGTACGACTCTAATTAAGATTTTAAATGTGTTCTGCATCATTTCACAAAGATGCAGTAATATTGTTCTGCTGCACCATTTCACAAAGATGCAGTAATATTGTTCTGCTGCACCATTTCACAAACATGCAGTAATATTGTTCTGCTGCACCATTTCACAAACATGCAGTAATATTGTTCTGCTGCACCATTTCACAAACATGCAGTAATATTGTTCTGCTGCACCATTTCACAAACATGCAGTAATATTGTTCTGCTGCACCATTTCACAAACATGCAGTAATATTGTTCTGCTGCACCATTTCACAAACATGCAGTAATATTGTTCTGCTGCACCATTTCACAAACATGCAGTAATATTGTTCTGCTGCACCATTTCACTAACATGCAGTAATATTGTTCTGCTGCACTATTTCACAAACATGCAGTAATATTGTTCTGCTGCACCATTTCACAAAGATGCAGTAATATTGTTCTGCTGCACCATTTCACAAACATGCAGTAATATTGTTCTGCTGCACCATTTCACAAACATGCAGTAATATTGTTCTGCTGTACCATTTCACAAACATGCAGTAGTACTGTAATGGTATAGCACTTCAACTAGACATATGAAAAATCAAAGTTTTAAATACTTGGTACTTTCTAATCTGTACGAAAAATATCTGTACAAAAAAATTGCCTTCTCTAACATTTCTGATTATGAGTTATCTACCACACTTGCAGGAAAATCACTGAAATTTAACCTGGTAAAAAATTTAACTGGTAATGCAAACTTGAAAAACCTTTTTGGGGACCTCAATGACATATCTTACATTTTGTTGATGTTATACTTTAATCAGCTTTAAGAAAAAAATTTAAAAATCAAGGTGGTGTTAGTAATGATTAAGGTTTCACCAAAATATAAAAGTTAAGAAATACAGTACCAATGATGATGAAATATTATCAATATATAATTACAGACTACTGGTATCAATATTTGAAGCCCCACGCACCCATTTAAGAATATATCAAATGATTCCCATTTCAAACAAATGCAAAAAAAAAAACTATTTAAACTTAAACAATAATTTTTTTGTTTGTTTTGGATTTGGTTTTTAAGTAAAAAATTTGAAGATTAAATCTTTAAATAGTCGTGATTTATAATTAGTTTTTTATTTATAATTTTATAATTGCTTAATTTGCACCTTCTGCTAATACTTTTATGATGCCAGCGTTCTACAAGTTTTAATGCTTGCTAACTTTACCTTTGTATAGCATTTGATTTTTAAAATACTTATTTCAATATTATTGTAGAATCCTGAAAAACTAGCATTGGCTTCTAAGACCAACAATAAAACTGAAGATGCAAGGTAGTTAAATTTTTTTTTACTTTGAGGGCACTATTGATAAGCGTTACTATGTTATTTATTTTTCTTCAATTTTTTTTGTGTTATTTTTATTACTATTTTTTACTTTTATTCTGCTTTTATCTGATTTCATTTTAGATTTTTATGATTTGCAGGGATTTTTTTTCTGTGAACATAAAAAGTAGAAGGACTCAATTAATAACAATTTAAATGATTTCTATTATTTTTCTAGTTAGGAATTGAGGAGCTTTTTCAATGTTTATAAATTATTTTTTTTGTTGCTCAAGTTTAGCCATAAATATATCTGGGATCTACTAAATAGTGTTGGCAGGAGAGTTTAAATTAAAAAGTTATAATTAGTAATTACATTTTGAATATTTGCGGTATGTTTTTTTTTCAAGATATCACTAATTCCTTTGAAATTGTAAAAAAAACCTCTCAAAATTTTAACCTTTTGAAAAAAAAAACATGCTCTCAATATCGCCTGCAACTACTTAATTGCATCAAAATCAATTTAAAAAGCATTTAACCATTTTTTTTTTACAGTAGTTAAGTTTACTTAAGTATTAAGTTTAACATTAGAAACCATTGTATTCTAAGCAAAATAAAATTGAATTAATGAAGTAACTCTTTTTGGCTTTTGCTTTTAGATTAATTAATTGCATAAATTAAGAAAATCAAACTTTATATTTGGCACATACATATCTATTGTTTGGCATATAAATATCTGTTGTTTGGGACATAAATATCTGTTGTTTGGCATATACATGTCTGTTGTTTGGCATATACATATCTGTTACATAAAATCTTATGTCTAAATTGTCTAAATATTATAAACTGTCTCAATTCTATGTTGGTTATAACTAAACATTTTTTTATATTTTACAATGATTAAAGTGTTCTATCAAATTTCACAATGAACACAGTGTTGTATCAAATTTAACAATGAACACAGTGTTCTATCAAATTTCACAATGAACACAGTGTTGTATCAAATTTCACAATGAACACAGTGTTCTATCGAATTTCACAATAAAAAGTAAAAACAAAGCATAATCTAATTCTTTATGTATTTGATTAAGCTTTTTTTTTTACTTTTCATTGTGAAATGAAAAGTAAAAACAAAAGCTTAATCAAATGTCCTAAAGAAAATGTTAAACTTCCTTAAAATACATTAGTAAGTTTTGAATACATAGCTATATAAACAGTATTATTTTTGAGTATTTGAATAAAAAGATCATTTTTAAGTCAGTGTAGCATGCTTCTTTTATTATGTAACATAATAATAACGATATCAGTTTTATATATGTATAAATATAAATTAAAACCGATATCTTGACTCTTTTTTATTGACTTCTAATGACAGTTTAGCAGACTGATAATTCATTTGTTTAATGATTAAAAAATTTCACTCATAAAATTCATTTAGTTATTAAAATCCATAATGCACTGCATTTAAGGATTTAATGCACTGCATGCACTGCATTTAATGCACTGCATGCACTGCATTTAATGCACTGCATGCACTGCATTTAATGCACTGCATGCACTGCATTTAATGCACTGCATGCACTGCATTTAATGCACTGCATGCTCTGCATTTAAGGATTTAATGTGAAAAATTTATAGAAATTAAAATTAGTCTTCCCTTGTGACAATTCCATGTCAGGCCTCACTCTTCTTCATGGTTTTCCTTACATTGTGCTGCTGCAATTTCCAATCGAAACCGTTACTTCTATATCTATCAGCAAAACCATTCTCTAGTAAACAGATGTCTGTTTATTACTGCTAGAAATCATTGTAAAAAGGTTTTGTCTAACGTCAAAGTCCGCTGTTCTCAGGTCATGAAATCTCATATTTCATCACAAAAACTAGGCTCTTGTTACTTCTGGAGAATTTTTAATAATATCAATAATAAAGATAAATCTGTTATTCCACCTTTCTTGTATGGTTCAGACTTTGTCATCTAAAGACAAAGCTAAATTGTTTGCTAAGAACTTTTCATCAATATTATCTCTTGATTCCACTAGTTACATTCTATCTGATTTAGCCATTAAACAGGTTGATCCATTGCTTGACATTCCTATTACTCCAGCTTCTGTATCTAAAGTGATTTCCTGCTTAGACTCCTCTACAGCTTGTGGTCCGGACAACATACCTATTATAGTCTTGCAGAAGTGTTTTTCAGAACTGTTGTCTATACTTTCAAAACTATTCAACAAGTGCTTATCAGAGTCTTGTTTTCCAGCCTACATCTGTTATCCCTATCCCAGCGACATCTGTTATCCCTACCCCAGCGACATCTGTTATCCCTATTTTCAAAATTTCTGGAGAGCGATCTAATTTGTCTAAACTTTATTTCTTATAATTAGGATGCTAAAAAAATCATACAGAATGTTATCACACAGAAAAACAATTATCTATGTATTATTATTTTAGTTAAAATTTTTTTTTTAGAAAAATTTTATTATTATTTAAAATGGCAACAAAACAGCAGCAAGTGCATGATGGTTTGGACTATCAAGAAAAAGTATAAAACCAAGTTCCTCAAGATGTATAAAGCCCCAGATCGTATGCTGAAGAAAATTTAATGGCAAAAAGTTGTGCAGGAAAATTATACAAATTATTGTGTAGAAAAATAAAATGTATAATTATGGATGATGAAACTTATGTGAAATTAAATTTCAAAACAATTCCAGGAAATCATTTTTATATGAGAGTCTCCAGGAAAAAGGCTAAATTTAAAACAATAAAACTAAAAAAATTCCCCCAAAAAATTATGGTTTGGCAAGCCATATGTCAATATGGATTAAAAACTTAAAGTTTTGTCACTAATTCCACAATAAATAGTGAAATCTCTCAAAAAGAGTGCCTTAAAAACCGCTTATTGCCACTGTAGAACACCCACAATGATAATGCAATCTTTTGTCCTGACCTAGCTTCATTATTCAAAAATCTTCATACTTCAAAATCTTATGACTCCCATCAAGAGTAAAATTAGAAAATTTTATTGCACTGAAAAAATTTAATTCTTTTCTTTATTTATTTTTGTTCTAGACTTGATAAACATTCAATAAAAAAAAAATCAAATTTGTAGCTCATTCAAATCTTTTTTAATTCAAGAAAAAGTGTCAGTTTTACTTAACCCAACCTTTAACTATTGTCCCATTAGTCTTCTTCCTATCATAAGCAAGGTTTTTGAATCTTTAATTAACAAACACTTAATCTCTTATTTTGAATCTAATAACTTACTTTCTGATCATCAATATGGATTACGATTTTCTCATTCTACAGCTGATTTGCTATAACCAATAGGTAATAACCAATAATAACCAATAGGTTTTATCATGCATTAAAAAACAGTGTAGAGGTTAAAGCAATTTACATTAATTTTAATTTACATTAATGATCTTCCAGATATTCTTACATCTAATGCGACATTGTTCCCTGATGATACTACCATTTCTTCTTGTCATGATAAGAAAACAACACTCTCTGATTGCTTGGAGGGAGCATTTGAGCTTGAAAAGGTTGGATCTGCTCTTGCAGCCAACCTCCAACCATTATCACATCGTTGGAATGTAGCTTTACTTTCTCTTTTCTACAAATACTATAATGGGCACTGCTCTAAAGAGCAACATCTTTTATGTCATCTACTAAAATTCATTCTCGTGTTACTTGTCATTCAATTAAGTCTCATCCTTTTTCTGTGACTGCTCCTGAGTGCTCCAAAATCTCTTATTCCTCTAGTTTTTTTCCTTGAACATCAGTTCTTTAGAATTTGCTTCCTTCATCTTGCTTTCCTGATAGATTGCAGTCTTTTATGTTGTCTGTCAATCGTCATCTTGCTATACAATCTTTTCTCTTCCAGTAACTCTTCCGACTCTAATAGTGGTTGCTTGCAGCCTTGATGGAAGCGAAAGTGTTAAAAAAAAAAAAGAAAAGCAGTGGGTGTTAACCCTCATTGGATCATTTCATACCAAATATATTTCACCTCATATAACTCATCACAAATGAAAAATCAAATTTTTAATGGTGTAAAGAATTTATGTGTAAAGATTTAAACTCTAATTATTTAAAAATATTTAAAAATATTAAATATGGCTTACCATATGGTCATGCACAGAAATTGTCAATTTGTCAATTTCATGTAGTTATTTTTATAAAAATAAATTTCTTGTGAGTATTTCAAGTGAAATATATCTCTACAACTCATATTTAATATTTTTCAATGAGAAATAGCAGTTGTCAAATATTTCTAGCTTGAGTACAGCATTTAGCATTAAATTATTGTAGCATTAAATTATTTTTTCAATAGCATTAATAGTAGGGATGTACCAAAGCTGCAATTTTGCTGAAGCCGAAGCTTCGGCTTAAATTATACGTAATTTAAAACTCAATTTACTTCATTACGGTGATTTGAATAATCAAGCTGCTTTTAAAATTATATATCAATATTTTAGGTTTGTATGTTTTGGCCTACAAGCCCCTTTTAGGAAAATTATAACGGGTGTTCACTTGAAATCCGGACTGACTTTAAGTCAATATAAATCTGACATAATGTATTGCAATTGTACCATGTGATACATTATTTTAAAGCGTTTAAATTTAGCTTTAATATGCTACATTTATATTTAGATTGAATGATTATTCAAATTGAAAATGAAACCTAAACAAGACGACACTCGAAAACGTGTGTACAACTTCTATATTGAAAATAAAGAAAAAGGCAAAAAGTACATCGTAGATCATTTTGAAAAAGAAAAAATTGCCAGATCGACCATCTATGATATAATTAAACGTGCTGATGACGATTCTGGATATCTTAGACGTCCTGGTTCAGGAAAAAAAGCTCTAAAAATGATCCAAAAAAAAGTACAAGCGTTAAAATCAATGTTTGATCATCATGATGGCGTTTCTTATAGGAAAGCAGGTAGAAAATTTAGAATATCAGCTTCTTATGCCCATAAAATTATTCAGACAAAATCAAAGATCAAGAAAAG